TCACAGGTAGTGCTTCGGCTCGGAAACACTTTTCTTCTCGGGATCTTCGGGCTTCGGGACTCGCTTCGGGTCTCAGGATGATACCGGGGCTTCGGGGGTACTTCTTTGCATGTAAATCGAGGTAGAATGGGAGAGAGAGGAGAGAAAATAGCAACCATAAACGGTTGTCCCTTCAAATTTATTTATAGGGAAAATTTTTCCCTTGCCACGTCGTGACACCTTTTTCCACGTCATGGCACCTTTTTCCACGTCGTGGGCTTGGTCGTCATTGCATGTGTCATCACAAGTTACGTTTGGGGGACTCCAGGAGGTGTCAGAAGACTTTCCACGTCGTGGCACTACTTACCACGTCGTGGTATCTGACAGTTTTGGGGTTTCGCGCCCTGAACTTTAGAAATTCATAACTTTCACATACGAACTCCGTTTTCGACGTTCTTTATATCGACACGTAGATGAGATTTTGATCTAAAACTCCCGTTTAGACTTTGTTGGCTAATTTTGACTTTATTTTTAATATATTATAAATATATTACTTATATATTATTTTTAGTAGGTCGGGACAGGAAAACTCCGTTATAAATTCATAACTTCTTAATCCGACGTCCATTTTCGCCTATCTTTGTATAGTTTCACTACTATTAACGAGATCTTTGATTCTCGTTTAGATTGTTTCGGCTAAAAACCGTTCGATCTCAAATCGAGTATTTGGGCTGCATACTGCTAAGTGGAAACTTCAGAAAATCATAACTTCCTTATACGAAGTCAGATTTGGGCGTTCTTTTTATGCACGCTCTCGGTTTAACGAACTCTTCAACTTTAGTTTAGATTACTAAGGCTAGATATCATTCTATCTTAAATTCGTATTTTACGTCAATCGGCGTCGTGCCGGTTCTGTCGCGAAACTTCGACAGATCATAGCTTCTTCGTTATAACTCGGATTGCAGCAATCTTTATATATTCGGAAACCTCGTTTCAACTACTACAAAATTATCCAAATATATCGGCTTTATCTACTATTTTATTTTGGAACTTGTGTTTTATTATTAATTCATTTAAGCCACACAACTAAGCACAAAACATATAATACTCAAATAATATATTCTTATTATTTAAAAATGGGTTACAAAGGTTAATGTAGACTAATACATTGCTATTATTGAAAAGCCCAGAAACACATGCGTTACAGTTTTTCACCTTATTTAAGGGATCATTGGCCTCCTCATCCTCCCCTCTACAGTCTCTTATCATCTCAAACCCCTAACTTCATGTGTGTGTGTGCTTTCTTGGTGTGTTAAGATTAAAGAAGGATTTTGGCGGGAAACACTTGAGGGAAAACAAGTAAATTGAAGTAGGGAACTCGTGGGGAATCATAGAACTACTTCAGTAGGTACTCTTTTGAAGGTATCCAACTATTCTATGGCTCATTTCTTCCTAGATCTCTTTTGGATGACTTTTAGGAAGCTATTCTTGTGTTGGAGCTAAGATCTGAAGTTGCAACTTCAGATCTGAACTCTCTTTGGTCTCTAAGGCCATAAAGTTGATAGCTTTGACAAGAATGCACCTCCCCTCAAGTGTTAGACTTCATTGCAAACTTACTTTGGTCATTTTAAGGCTTTAAAGCTTTGCATGCAGGTAAAGTTTTACAACTTTATGTGATAAGCATGCCTGGGAAAGTTGGATCTGCAACTTGGAGCCTTTGCATGGCTTAAAAAGCATCTGTATGGATGAAGGTATGAAGGGACTCGGCGAGTGGCATGGTCGACTCGGCGAGTCTGATGAAGATGGTCGTGGGCTAGGCGAGTTGGATGAGTGACTCGGCGAGTCCGATGAAGATTGCCTTGGACTTGACAAGTCATTTGGGGGACTCGGCGAGCTTCCAATTTAAGCAAGAACTCGGCGAGTAGTTGAGGGTACTCGACGAGTTGAGGTCAACATGGACTGTTGACCTTGACAGTTGACTTTGAATTTGACCAATGGTTCACCAATTGACTTCTGGGGGTATCTTGGGAATTTATGAGCTTTGTGATGTGTCGGATATAGGTGGTGGAGTTTGTGGTGGTGAATAAGGAGTTGAGCTTTCTAGTTTCAGACGATAATTGCAAGGTGAGTTCCACTCATTTTATCAGTAGAGTATAAGGCACCAAGGTTGGCCCTTTATGGATTTGTATCCGGATTATTGCCTAATATGTTTATTGACTTACATCCTGGTAGTTAGGATGGTGATATGCTTATGCTTAGTGACCTGGTTAGGTCGGTATCCTGGTTATAGGATTGTTGCTATGCTTTGTGATCTGTTGATCGGTTTGACTGTTATGTATGCTAGCTCATGATATTTATATGCACATGATTATTTGTTTGGGGGTTGGGTTGAGGAGGTCCTGCTCTGCGCTGAAGGCCAACATACCCAAGGCGGTCCGGGCAGACTACAGGACCCAGAGGGATGTTAGTCAGATCGAAGGCCCGACCACCGGTCTGGATAGGATGAAGGCTCTACGAGGCGGTCCAGATGTGCTGAAGGCTCGGAGAGCGGTCCAAATAGACTGAAGGCCTGCGAGGCAGTCCAGTCAGGCTGAAGGCTCATTATGCATGTTTTTTTGTATTTATTGATATGATATGATTATGATTATACGCGGATGATATTTTGGGAGTAGATCACTAGGCTTTCGGGCTTACAGTTCTAGTTTAATGTTTCAGGTACTTTTGGTGATCGTCGCAAGGCGAAGGCATGATCATACCGCTCCTCCTGCTGTTAAGATTTTTATGAATTGATACTGGGATATTCTGATATTTATTATTTTGAAAACAAACTGTGTATTGTTAAATGGTTTTAAGTGTATTGAAAAAAGTTTAAATTTGACATGATTTTTATAGGTGTTACATTTGGTCCTTAACTTTTATTTTACACTGAAATCGTCCATATGTTATGATTTTGTTGCGTTTTTTGTCACTATGATTTGATCAAAATTGCACGTTTGGTCCCTAAATTTATGTATGTAAGGGACGAAAACCGCAACAAAATCAAACCATAGGGACAATCCGAGTACAAAAAAAAAGTTAGGGATCAAACGTACAATGTTGACAAAACCATATGAACGATTTCAATAATTTACTCCTTTCTATTTTGAAAATGGGGAATTCTATTGTCCTGAAAGTACACTACCTTTAAATGTTTCCCATAATAGTATGTTGCGTTAGATAATTGCGTATTTGGTGGTGGTTGTGAAAGTGCATGGCTTTAGACAAGATGTTAATTTAAAAATGTTATAGTTTTGGTCCTTATGGAGGGTGGGGTGGAGTAAGGAAAAATGGTCTTATTTACAAAATTAGCGGTCAAATGGTTAAATTTAACAACCCAAGGACCATTGGTTTAATGAAAACAAACCACAAGGTCCATTAATCTTACAAAATTAATAGTAAGACCAATAGTGTCAATTCTATTAAACTACATGGATACATGGACCAAACGTTTAATTTAATGATAAAAGAAATCCCGTTAATTAAAAAAATATGTTATAATCTAACATTCACTTTTAATAATGAAACATATACCAAAAGTCTAATTTAATGATATACAAAATAATGTTAATTAAAATATTATGTTATAATCTAACATTCACTTTTGATAATGAAATATCATATAAATTCATGAAGACTAATTTTATTTTTACAAGCGAACTACAGTGATCTTATCCCATGAAGTACGAAAGTATAGGAACCATATTTAAAAGTCTTATGGTAATATGAAACCCAAAAAAAATAAGGACAAAATTAAAAAATATGAAAGTCTAGGAAACAAAAATGTCAATATACGAGATTTTTATGGAAACCTAAAAAATTTAAGAATCAAACATTCTAATATATGAAAGTCTCGTGACTAAAGTTTGATTTTGAATCCTCCCTCCCCCCTTCCCTTCTTCCATTCCGTCCGAAGAGTAACTAAGACCAATTTAGTCACGTTTTCATGTTTCAATGGAACACTTTCAGTTTTTGATTATTCTCTTTACCATACATATGCGATAGTTTTGTGTTTATCCGTTTTAAGTTACCAACAAACCTAATTAATTGTATATAAAGATAATTGATTTTGATTCTTTGTATTTACTTACTATTTCAATTAGGCTTAGCACTCATGTTATGGACTTGTGAGTATGATTCTTGTTTTTATTTTTTCGGTGGTGATGGCAGTGAGATTTTTCGGTGCGATGACCGAAAAGACAATGAAGTTGGTGGTTTTCTTCAAGTAAGAGAGAAAGGAGGGACCAAGGAGGTATGAGTTCCAATAGTTTGTTTACTATGCCTTTTGGGAAACCACATGGGCCAATTGCGAAATTTATGAAAGGACCGAAACAACACACCTTCAAACAACAATAACCTTTGATTCTTGATTAGTTTTCATGTCAACTTTATATGTACGAAACACCCTAAATAGACGTTATATATCCTATGATTTTTCTTAAATTTAAGCATCCACTCACACATAATATCTATGTAAATCACAATTAGCTTAAGTCAAATTGTATCCATAATCTATAGTTTAATCGAAAGCTTAAACGAAATGAAGTGACATCCAATTATTAAACTGTACTATTATTAGATGTGATATTGACGTTCAATAAATATAAAATTTAATGGACGTGATACTCATACATATATGATAAATTATATTTTATAAATGTAATTTATTGAATTTTGAAGACTTCAATCCATCATAGATAAATTTTGATATAATTATATAGATAGCAATTGAATTGATAATATGCTATTTCGTTAGAGATTGTAAATTTAGGTAATATGTCATCATCAGCATTATGCTGAAGTACAAGGGCTATACTGAAACTATATTGAAGTAAATGGTTCATTAATGAAATTTTTAGAAAAGGATATTTGCCTCCACGACTTGCCTTTTTTTCATAAATCCCTCTCATCCTTTCTATCATCGTACAACTCAGAAAGAGATTAATCCCCTCACTTCTGTCATTCAAGAACAAACGACCTAATCCATGGCGATCGCAGATATCCACGAAGATATCATCAAAACCCACATCTTGACCAGACTCGACGGTCAAACCCTCGCCGCCGCCGGCTGTGCATCTTCCCAGCTACAATCCCTCTGCTCCGATCAAAAACTATGGTCCGATATCTGCTCCTACAATTGGCCGTCCACCGTCGATCCTTTGGTAAGCCAAGCCATCTCCAATTTCCCTTCTGGCTACCGTTCTTTCTATTCCGACTCCTCCTCATCCCCCACCTACCGTCTATCCACCACCACATCATTACCTGCAACCTCCCACATTATCTCATCCGTCGACCTGAGATACCACGACGAGCTTATCTTTTCCACGGTTGAATCCACCAACACCACACCAAGCGACTGGTTCCAATCGTCTCCGTTTCGTATTGATCTTCTTGAACTTAAAGAACTCATACCCTCATCGATTAAATTCTCCGGCGACAATCAGATGCTACTATCCAATCTTGAAAAGCACATGACGTTGAGTTGGATCATGATAGACCCAACCCAGAACCGAGCAGTGAATCTATCAAGCATAAAGCCTGTCTCTGTTCGTCGGAACTGGTTGACCGGGAACATAGAGGTGATATTCGCCGTCGTGATCGCTCCCGACGTTCCCCTACATGGTAATGATTACGTGAACTGCAATATACAGATTACATGCGGGGTAAAAGAAGGCGGAGGAGAGTTAAACGTGAGCGGGGCTAGTTTAATGGTATTGGACATGGATGGCAAGTGTTTGAGCGGAAAGGAGAGTATGGTAATTTTACAAGGACTTGCGGTAGCCCAGCTGCGGAGGAGGAGGTATAGCGGCGGAGGAGAGGAGCAGAAAGAGAGGTACGGCGAGTTCATTCAAAGAAGGAGAGAGAGAAAGGAGAAGATGGAGAGGAGAGAGAGACGGGTTGACATGGCTTGCGTCGCGAGTGGGGTTGGAATCTTGATGGCATTTTGGTCATTTGCCCTCTCGTGGTAAATTCAACCAATCGAATTCAAATCCAAGACCTAAATTTCTTTATATTAACATAATAACATTCTTTTAAGGATCACGAAAACACAATATTCTTTTATTATTTTGATTTATATGATATGATATGTTTTTTTTTAATTGAATTTTATTTAATAGGTATGCAAAACTTACATTTATTATTGGCGAGATATTCTTGTATATGATTAATAGCTAATTCAATTATAATATGCAATAATGCAATATAGTTTGGTTTTATTTGATTTGGGTGGATATCGAAGGTCAAGAACCAAAAAAGGTGATTCAAAATTGATTAAATTGAAACCAAACTTGTCTATCCTAAAATCAAACCGATTTAATAGCTTGATCTCATGCCTTGGTTATAACCTTCCGTAGGCCGTAGTTTTAGGACTTTAGGTTGCAACTTGATAAGCAATTAAGGAGTAGTAGTCAAGGCTTTGATGCATGCGTTACAACATTAGGTATAAGCGGTATATTGCTATGAATAAATGAAATTATAATAAAAAATGAAATAGACAACAAAGTGGAAAGAATTATAATATTGAATTTTTATGTTCCACAAGCCGTGAGGACGTTGAGGGTGCGAAGTTAGGGCTGATAATTCTCGATACGACACGCGACACGACCCGCAACACAACACGAAATAAATGAGTTTGGGTTGAGTTTTTCAACCCGCCAATCCGCTAACCCGTCAACCCGCCAACCCGTTTATTAAACGGGTCATATATGAGTTTCTAAAAAAATAAACGGGTTGACCAACCAACCCGTTTATATTCTTAAAAAAAATTATTTTTTTTATATGTATTTATGTATTAAGTATTAATATTTAATAACTATTATATAATATATACTATTTATTCATAGACCATTTGATTGTTTTGACATTATTACTCATGGTGGATGGTCTAAGGTCATAAGTCGTAACCTATAAGGCTAAGTTTGTAACATGTTTGTATGAATGTTTTTAATTTTCATTTGGATGTTTAAGACTTAAATATCTAAAACTTGGACCCACGAACCCGCCAACTTGTGAACCCGTATAAATAAATGGGTTGGTAGGTCATATATGGGTTTATTTTCCAAACCCGCCGACCCGTGACCCGCCAACCCGTGACCTATATTTAAATGGGTCGTGTTTGGGTTGGCATATTTTGACCCGTCAGCCCGCCATCCCGCGACACACCAACCCGAACACGACACGATTGTCAGGCCTATGCGAAGTGGACAGATATACAGGAACCAATCTTTTATTATATATTTTTATTTAAAACTAAAAATTTATAATAACGATAAAAGCTTTTTTTTTACTCGTCTGAACCTTTGATGATATTTAGTTTCTCAGGACCAACTAGCTCCAAACAACTTGACAAATTATTCAAAATGTTATTTGTTACTAAATAAATAGAAAAAATAAATAAAGTAAAACTAATAAATAAAGAAAAACGTTATTCTATAAAGACATATAATATAAATATAAATAAATTCTAAAATAAGTAAAAGAATTGTTATGATGCACGAAACTAACAACATTAAAAGAATTACATAACATGAAATCTTAAATATAATTGTAGCAACAAATAATTTTATATATTTTCAAAAATAAAAAAATTAAGTAATAGAAAATTTATAATTTCAATAATTAATATTTATTAAAGATTATATAAACGGAAGTAATTTATTGTTATAATATATAGCATTTCATTCTCTAAAGGAAAACACCTCTCCCCATAGAATAAAAACCAACTTAGCAGTAAGAATCGCATCTAGTGATGAATGTTTTATTTTAATGAAAAAATAACAGTTGTGGCGGACAACAAAATATCCAAAGTTGGAATATACGAGATCGATGATGACTGGAAGCCCTTCTCGACTCATAATTATGACAACAATATTGAATCAGATGGTGAAGATGATGAGGATGCCATCGCTGATATAATGATCGTGGGGGAAGAGAACAAGTTTGATGACATGAGTGACACGTTAGAGGAAGGAGAAATAGAGTTAGATTTAGAGTCGAGAAGAGTCCCTGAATCACAGTTCGAGGTGAATGATCATGAAGCCACAGTAGTTGAATCCCCGGTGGAGGCTCCGGCAGACGTTCCCGGAGGAGTGGGAGTCGAAGCAATCATTATCGACGGGAGTCAGGAAAATCTGAATGGGGAACTGGGTCGGAATAAGGAAGACCAACAGTCTCAATTTAATGGGACTACTCAAATGCGGATAGATACTATAGAAGATGGATGCATGGTCGATAACGTGGAGCATGGGAACCCACTTATGTCCCTTGGGAAAATACGGGAACAATTACGAAAAGGTGGAATTGGACCTTTTCCAAATTCGGACCCTAGGATGAATAACGAGCCCAATAATGTAAGTAATTTAGAAATGGATCCAAATGGATCTTATCTTAAACGCAAGAAGGTTCACCAGGCATCATTAAACATAAACAATATCCATTTATGCCCTACCCACATTGACGATCAAACAAATCAGGAGGTCATAGGTTCGGAGTCGGGTAACCATTCCTCTCTTGATCTTAATCGAACCCCTAACAACGTTTCTCACCCATCTCAATCCAATAGACCCCCAACCATTCCTCATATTTCTGAAATCGAAAAAACTGTTGAAATCGGTCGACTCATTGGATTTGAGATAAATGGCGATAATGAAATTTTGGCCGAAATCACTGGTATGGACGGAGAGCACGTTGCAGATCAATGAAGTTACTGTCGGTTAATATAAGGGGAATGGGAGAACAACATAAACTCGAATGGATCAGGACGTTGAGGCAAGTTAATAAAGTTTCAATAGTATGTATACAAGAAACGCAATTGCAACTGGGAGTGGAGGAATCAACTATTACAAAGGGGTGGGGGACGAAAATTATGGATCCGATTGTGTGGAAGCAATGGGTAGGTCAAGGGGCATCCTTACTATATGGGATAAGTCATACTTTTCCTTTACAGATTCAGTCAAATCTCGATCCTTTTTAGTGACTCATGGAGTATTTCAAGGTTCGGGCCTGAACATTTCCATTGTGAATGTATATGCTCCACAATCTATTATTGAGAAACGGTGTTTGTGGGAGAATCTGTTACAATTAATGAGATCAAGGAAGTCAATGTGGGTTCTTATGGGAGACTTCAATGCAGTAAGAAGACGGGATGAAAGGTTAAACTCCAATTTTTGTTGTATCACAGCTCGTGACTTCAACAAGTTCATCCAAGATGGCGGACTACATGAATTAAAAAAAATGGGAGGATTTAAGTACACGTATTACTAAAATTTTGGTGCTAAACTAAGTAAACTTGATCGGATTCTTGTTTGTCCAGAATTTGTATTAAAGTTTCCACAAGCCTCATGCACTGCTCTCCTAGGGATCAATCGACCATTGTCCAATTCTTCTCAAATTAAGTTCGATGGATTATAGGCCTATTCCATTCAGACTCTTTAATTCGTGGATCCTTAGACGGGGGTTTAATGAAGTCGCCCTCAGGGCAATATCAAAATTTAGAGGATACAGGGCACCTGATAGATATGTTCTTAACAAGTTGAAGTTCTTAAAAAACAAAATTAGAAGCTGGAGATCAATAGAACATTCAAAGGAGGCTATTGAGTTCTCAAAGATTAAAGGAAGATTGATTTAACTGGATAAAAAGGCTGAAAGGAAGGAGTTACAGAGCCCTAAAATACAAGAATGGGCAAGATTATTCAGAATTGGAGAAAATGGTGAGCATGGATCTGAGACAAAAGGCAAGATTAAAATGGTTGACTGATGGGGATGAAAATACCAAATTTTTTCATGGTTTTGTAAACAATCGGAATAGAAAAAAATACTATAAACGGCCTCATGCTAAATGGTTGGTGGACAAGTCAACCAAGCGAGATTAAAGATGAAGTCTTTAAGTTTTTCTCGACAAAATTTAAGGAGAAATGGAAGACAAGACCGGAATTCAGAAGTAACAGATTTAAAAGGCTTTCAAGTACTAGCAGTGAGCTTTTAGAAGGAGGTATTTATGAAGATGAAGTGAAAAGTGTTGTGTGGGAATGCGGGAATGATAAGGTTCCGGGACCGGATGGTTTCACTTTTAATTTCCTGAAAAAATATTGGGAGGTCTTGAAGGAGGATATTATTGCGTATGTGAAACATTTCGAGAAGTGGGCTATACTCTCCCAGGGATGTAACTCTTCGTTCATAACACTGGCAGCTAAGGTCAAAGACCCTCTATCCCTTGGTGATTACAGGCCAATCAGTCTTATTGGCTCATTATACAAAATAATAGCAAAAATCCTAGCTTCAAGGATCTGATTGGTGATGGGTGAATGTATTTATGAAGTTCAAACTGAGTTTGTGGAAGGGCGGAATATTCTAGAAGGACTACTTATAGTTAACGAGTTGTGTTCATGGGGGAAGAAGATCAATAAGCGGATTTTGCTCTTCAAAGCAGATTTTAATAAAGCTTTTGACTCGGTAAATTGGAAATTCTTGGATTCTATGATGCAGTAGATGAACTTCGGATTAAAATGTAGGTCTTGGATAAAAGGATGTTTGGAATCGGCTAGGGCCTCGATATTGGTTAACGGTAGTTCGACTGCAGAGTTCCAACTTGAAAAAAGAAGTAAGGCAGGGAGACCCTCTTTCGCCATTTCTCTTTATATTGGGCATGGAAGGGTTGAATATTGCAATAAAGGAAGCTGTGGCCAAAGGTGTCTTTCAAGGTATATCTATTCCAAATTCTGATATAAAAGTATCACATTTATTCTACACGGATGATGCCCTTTTCATTGGCGAATGGTCTAGTCAAAATATTAAAAACCTTGAAAGAATTCTTAAGTGCTTCCAAGTGTCTTCCAGCTTAAGGGTTAACTTTAATAAATCAAAAGTTTTTGGCATATGTGTTAATACTCAAGAGGCTGAAAATGGAGCATTACCGTTAGGATGTGAGTCTAGTGCAATACCATTCCCTTACCTTGGGATGCCAGTGGGGAGGAATATGAAAAGGAAAATCTCCTGGAACTTGATACTTGAAAAATTTAGAAATAAACTTTCTGGATGGAAGGCAAAGACCTTGAGTTTTGGTGGGAGGATGACTCTAGCAAAGGCAGTTTTGGGTAGTCTCCCCACATTTTATTTATCATTGTTTGCTGCTCCATCGGGGGTTATTGAGGCTTTAGAGAAAATCAGGAGAAATTTCATTTGTGGAGGTCCAGAAAATGAATAAAAAATTAAGTGGGTGGCCTAGTTTAGAGTTATAGCTCCTAAGGAGGTGGGTGGCTTAGGCCTCGGTGCCATAAAAGCATTGAACCTAGCTTTATTAGCAAAATGGAAATGGATAATTATCAATGAAGGAGACTCCTTATGGGTTAAGATCATAAAGGGTCTACACAATCTTGATATTATTCAACCTAATCGAATATCTTCTAGGTACCTAAGTGGAGTTTGGCAGAACATTGATAAATGTAAAAGTTCTCTGGGTAAATTTTCCATTGTAGACACGAAAGTGATTCGGTGGATACGGGATGGGATTCAGACTTTGTGTTTGAGGGGAAATTTAGAGTCGTTACTCTAAGAGGAAGGATCGAGCGGGCAAGCCACTGGAAACATGATGGATCCTTCATGTGGTGCAACTGGATCCCATTAAAAGTAAGCTGTTTTGTGTGGAGAGCAAGGTTGGATCAGATTCCATCAGTGAACGCCCTTATTACGCGAAGAGTACATATATACAGACTTTAAACTGTAGTGCTTGTATATATCTGATACGGAGTCCACAGATCATATGTTGGTCACTTGCCCGTTCGCATTTGCAATTTGGAACCAAATTTGGAATTGGTGTGGTATCATGCCTCGCCAACTATCCAGTATTAAGGAGATCTTAAACTTTGCAGCAGAGTGTAGACATCCCCCAAAAAAGAGGAGAGCAATTAACGCAATAATTTTTGGTACATTATGGTGTATATGGAAAGTAAGAAATGATAGAATATTCAACTTAAAATTTATCAACTTGGATATGGTGTTTGAAGGAGTAAAATACATGGTTTATGCATGGATTAAACATAGATATAGGAAAGAAAATTTTATATGGGGTGAATGGACAAAATCCCCTTTCTTTTTTATGTAATGTAATGTAATATGTGACTCTCACTAGTGACTTGCTAGTGAGTGTCTTATAATAAAATTGTCGGTTCCAAAAAAAATTGTGACAACCAAGCATGTTTTCCTTTTTCAATATATTGTAATGCACCTTTTAATTCCATATTTGGTTAATGTATACGAAACGCTAGCTAAGATTTCAAGTGTGTAACACCGGCATGGCCGATTCAATGATTTTCAATGTCCGGGGCGTGATATTAAATTAATGTCCTTATATATAAAAAATGTTATATAACAAAACTTAAACAAATTTTATAGTCAAACTAAATCAAGGTTATTCAAACAAAAACCTACAAAAATTGATTTAAAACAATGCCTCTATGCAATCTCTTATTTTATGATAATAAAGACTTAACAGATTTTAACTTTCCATACTCAAAACTGTGAATCTGTATAATCATTAATGAGTGATGGTCCTTCAGAGATATAATTTAATAACTCTAATTTCACAAAAAACTTCTTTTTGGGGAAGCAACTGTGTGCCAACAACAAAATATTATATGCTACTAACTTATTGAGAAACATGTACATTTCCTTTGCAAACTCCATAATTTGAAGAGTTGTCTGAAGGAGTTCACATTTTTATGCTTCATCCAACACCATTTCCTGCAAAACTTTATAATTCAATAAATAAATCTTGTGCATCATTATCAAATTCATCACCTCTAAATAAATTCATATTTAAAAATCCTTGTAACTTATTAGTAAAATGTTTTTTTTTCTATTTTGAGCACTCAATACTAGTCAAAAAGATAGAGTAGAAGCGAAAAAGGATACAACCGACTATCCATAACCACAACCAAAACAAAAATAAAAAATGGTATCAAAATTTCAGAATTAACATTTCATATTTTCATTAATTAAATTAACATTAAAATTTCAAAAATTTGATACATCATAATTTCATAAATTAAAACAACTAATCAGATTATTTAGAAAAGCCCCATCATATTATACATAAATAAAAAACACATCTCTTTTTCAAAATCAGAATTCAGATATCAAAATTTACATATCATATTTTCAAATATAAGATACATCAAAATTTTAGAAATTAAAATAAATTATCAGATTTTAACCATAAATCAAGTTTTCATATACCTCAGATTAATCAGAAATTAAAAACACACCAGGTATTTAAAATCGTAATTCACATATCAGAATTTCAAAATCAGATTTACACATCTACATTTAAAAATTGGAATTTACATATAAAATTTAACATACATTAGAGTAATAAAAAGGGTTTAGATCATTTTTGGTCACTTAACTTTTGGTTTTGTTCTCATTTGGTCACTTAACCCTTTTTAGGTTTTAAAAGGTCATCAAACTTTTGCCTTTGTGTTCATTTAGTCACTTAACTTTTGATTTGGTCACATTTAGTCACTTATCTTTTAAAATTGTGCTCATTTAGTCACTAAACTTTTAAATTTTTTTTAAAGTTTGGTGAGTAAATGAGCAAAATTTTAAAAGTTAGGTGACCAAATGAGCACAAACCTAAAAGTTAAGTGACTAAATGTGACCAAACCAAAAGTTAAGTGACTAAATGAGCATAAAGTCAAAAGTTTGA